CTGTGACTCCACAACTCTGCTGGTGGCTGGCTTCTGCAAGGCAAGAGCTGACTGGAGGCTGGCAAGCCTGAAGGCCACCAATGGCATCTGTGCGTCATCTCTCCCACAGCTGATGCTGCAGATGGCATCTCTCTTGCATCTGATTCAAAGACTTATTTTCCTTCCCTGCCTGAAACACAGGCAGAAAGGTAGACAGGGGATCTCAGGTAACCCAGGGACTTGGTTCCTACATACACCTAAACAGAGACTCTAAGGCTGTTTCTTCATAATGGGGAATCTCTACTTGCTTGACAATACTTCTGAGAGTTTTAAATTTTATTTTAGTTTTTGAATTAAAATGATTACATCATTTCCTCCTTCCCTCCAGCTTTTCCCATATACCTACCCCTTCTCTCTCGCAGATTCATGGCCTCTTTTTCTTTGATATAAGTATATAAGTATATAAGACCTACATTTATCTGTTGGTATAAGGATACATACTTAGAATGAAGTTCATGATTGTGCTGATTTAGTAAACTGGCAGTTGTAGGTTGCCTCCAAGATTCACAACATCACTACCCCTGGTGGTTGGCGAGATTTCCAGTACTAGGTGTGATTTCAGTCTCAGTGGTTTTACCTTTTCTTTTTCTGTGGCGGCTTACACACTGAGAAAAGAAATTGCAAAAGGTACTCGAAGATGGAAAGACCTCCCATGTTCATGGACTGGTAGAGTTAATACTGGGGAAATGACCATCTTACCAAAAGCAATCTATCGACTCAGTGTAAGCCCGGTCAAAATTCCAATGCAATTCTTCACAGAAATTGAAGATACCATGTTAAATTTCAAATGAAATACAAGAGACCCAGAATAGGCAAATAATCCCAAACAATAAAAAGCTGCTGGAGGTACCTTCATCCCAGATTCCAAGTTATCCTATAGAGCTACAGTAATAAAAAAAAAAAAAAAACAGCATTGTGTTGGCAAAAAACAGACACATTGAGGACCATATATAAGCCCAAACCCACACAGCCTCCTGTTTTTAAACGAAGAGTCCAACAATGCATACTGGAGGACAGGCAGCATCTTCAACAAACGGCACTGGCCAAACAAGACGGCTACATGGAGAATGAAATAAGTTCCTTCCCTCACGAATTTCAACACCACTGGGATCAAGGACCTCGATACCAGATACTCCAAATCTGTTAAAGAAGGAAGTACAAAACTACTTGGACTCATTGGCACAGGAAAGGACTTTCTGAACAGGACTTGATAGTGCAAGCATTAATATCAGCAACAGAAAAATGGAACCAAGTGAAACCAGAAAGCTTCTGCTCAGCAAAGGATACCAGAGAATAAGCATCCTAATGAATGGGGAAAAAGTCATTACCAGCTATGCAATTTACAAACAGTCTCTAGAACATACAAAGAACTGAAAAACCCCAAAATTAAGATAACAAACAACCCAATCAAAAATGGAACAGAACCGAGAGTTTTCAGAAGATGAAATATTAATGATCTAGAAATAGTGTAGTGCCAATAATAAAAACCCAGAGACAGATATTGGGGTTGAACCTGAAGATTAGAAGAGCAAAGCAACCAGGCACTTGCTCTCATCTCTACCTCAGACAAAATGGGTGATCCTGTCTCCCACGAATTCTTAGATTGAATCTGACCGCATCTGTCTCCTTCCATCTTATATTCCTCTCTAGTACTGGGATTAAAGGCCTGCACCACCACCGCCCAGCTTCTATGGTTAACTAGTGTGGCTGCTGAGGTTAAAAGTGTGTACCACTACCGCCTGGCCTCTATGGCTGTAGCTAGTTTTGCATTCTGATCTGCAGGAAGGCTTCATTATATCATAAACAAAATATTATCACAAAATAGTTTTTTTGGTGTTCAACATGCTTAGACATTAAAGAATTACAAATTAAAACTGATTTTAAATTTCATCTCATTCCATTCAGAAATGCTAAAGTTAAAAAAAATGATAACGCGCTGGTGTGGATATGGGGAAAAGGAAACATTTAATCAGTGCTGGTGAGAGTGTAGCTTGTACAACCACTAAGGAAACCAGTGTGGTGCTTCATCAAGAAACTACTAATAGATCTGCCACATGATCTTGTTACACCACTCTTGGGAATATATCCGAAATACTGAATGTCTTACTAAGGAGGCAGGTAGCTCACTGTTGCTCCATTCACAACAGATCGGATACAAATAGCCTAGATATCCATCCAACTGGTGAATGTATAATTGAAATGTGGTACATTTACACAAGGGACTATCATTCAGCTATTAAGAAACAGGAAGTTATAAATTTGTGGGAAAGTACAGGGAGCCCACACAAGCATCCGGAGTGAGGTAACATAGACCTACAGAGACAAATGCTGCACACTTTTTCTCATTTGTGGATGCTAGCTTTAAATCTTTAGATATGTATGCTTCATTTGGAATACCATAGAGGTCAGAGAATTAGTAAAGGGTCCTAGGATTTAGGGGAGGGTGTTTAAGGGAAAGAAGAAAGAACATGTTGATTTAAAAAAGGGGATACGAATAAAGGAACAGGAAGGGTTAAATTGGGTGGAGTATGGGAGGGTAGTGTAGAAGAGGGAATATGCGGAGGGATAATTAACACTAAGGACCTCATGGAAAACCACTCCTGCAAATCTTCCTGTAATTTAACACACACACATATCTAAAAAGAGCTTAAACAGAGTTACCCTATAGTGAGGCCACAATGCCCCTTGAGACACCAATATGTAAAAAGCCCAGTGCCAACAACAGGTTTCCTCTTGGTCAGTGTTCTTGGTCAGTGAGGTCCCAGCGACCCTTAATATTACAGATTTTTTTCCTCCTCTGCTCTTGGTTCCAGTCCAGAACTTGATGATAAGACCCTACTGATGAAGGCACCACATACCTGAATCACAGAGTGTGTGGGAATCGAGCCAGTACTCAACTGTGCTTCAAGAGCCCAGTTGGAGAGTACCTGATAACAAACAGGGCAAGGGTGATGGAGGAAGCCTGAGTTCAACAGAGAACGCAAATGCAAGTTAGTAGAAGCATATACAGAAAGTGGATTTTTAAACGATTCCTGGCTCCGTTGCTGTTTGATTTTTCATTTGTACCTGAAAAGAATATGACAGTCGGCAGAGCTCTGCAGTAGACAGTCTGCTCTTGTTGAGAGTCCTTCTGAGCAGACCAACTAACGTGTGGGAAGTATTTCATTCACACACTCTGACAGAAGCCAGCATTGACTTACAGCCTTCTGCATACACTGCCTTTATGATTTGCCTGGGAAGCAACAGGTTGTCAGATATGCCCCCTTCATTTTCTACCTGGACCATAAATAATAAACTGAACCCACTTACATTTCTACAACAGAAACTTGCGTATTTGTCTCAAGCTGGGTAATTTCTCTACCGCCATAAAGTTCCTTGCTTTCTGGGCAGCAGCACCTTAACTGTTTTTAAAAGGTAGTCATGGAGCCATCGACTTTGGCAGCATTTTTGTAAAAACAGCAAGGTGGGGGCAAAACATACTCTCAGTCTCAAAGGAATGTGATTAGCGTTTTTAAAATTTTGTAGTAAAATCTTTTCATGATGCTACGATTGTAGTTTTTTATTACTCAATGCTACTATCGTGGGTTTTTTTTAATTACTCGAATTGATTTGCTGTTGACTTTAAGCTGTTGGCACATCGTACTGCACACCTTGACTGTACTTTCAAGACACAGCTTAGAGTCACAGTTCGCATCACCCCAGTGTCCCAAAATGTCCATCGTGGCAACTGGTGGAGAGGGCTAAAGCGTAGAATTAGCTATACCACATGTATTTCATCTATAAAAGATGCAGTTGTTAATCTGAGTGACGCATCGTCCCTTCAGGCAGTTCCTAGAAATTTGGAATGTCAGAAACAGTTAATAGAACTGGGGAAACTGAGTAAGCATCTCCCAGCTACACTTGATCCTACACAGTGCATTTTACTCTGTGGGTTTTAGTTCAATTCCGGTGATGTTTTAAATGTCTGTAAACTTCTGGATTGAGTTTGCTCATCTGTCGTGGTGCCTAGTCCCAAACACATAGTAGGCACACACACCAAAAAATCGACGAGACGAACCTTAAAACAATACATTCAGTGAAGAATTTGTCTCCAAAAAGCTCATCCTTGCAAGGACCGAGTCTGGAGGATTGGATTGATTTGACTGACCAAAGTCCCTCCGGGTACAATCAGTCTTGTTCCACCACGGCCCGTTGCCCTTGCCCTTTTCTAACTGTGCAAGAGAACTCGTAGGAACACCCACATCCAAGGGTGTAAAGTTCACAGAAGCATGTTTACCCGCAACCCGGGACAGCTGTGGCTGTCTTTGGAAAATAGGAGGGCCTCAGTGACAAATGGGCATTCCGCAAGTGAGCAGACAGACACACCCGATCTGCGGCTCCCGCAGCCCGGCTCCAGGTCACCCCTGCGCCCCGCTGGCAGTCCCGGGAGTCTCAGAGGCGAGAACTTGGCCACCCCTCCCAGGGTTGGACCGGTCTGTGTTGGTGGGCAAGTGGGGGGAGCTCGGAGTGGAAGGTGGCCCGTCCCTAAGTCCGTCCCTGCACAACTGGGCGCCTCTCAGTAGTGGCCAGAGTAAAGATGCAGGCGGCTTGAGCCGGCCGGAGCCTGAACAAAGAGAGCCAACGGCCCAGAGGATGCTGCTCTTCTCACGCCCCACCCAACGGGCCAGGGAACTGCCTGGCGTACAGGTTGCCCGGCGTTCACTCTGCAGAGGGTCGTGAGTTAAAGGCCAGCACACAAAGACTCACTTCCTTGGGGCCAGCCTCCCAGGCCGCCCGGCCCACTACTCGCGGCCGGTGGCATTCCTGCGGCCACCACCTGGACCCTCGCGCCCCCGGGTGCCAGATACGGGGGAGCAGAGGCCGTGTGGGGAGCCCGCGGAGCCGCTCGCCCGGTGGAGGCGGTGGCTGGGATTAGCACGCCTTTTTAGGCAGCCGCGCCGCCCCACGCAGCAGAGTCTGCAATCGCTGTGCGAGAGGCAGGCTCTGCGTCGCCAGAGCGTCCCCGCCTGCGCCGGCCGCCGGGCGAGCAGCGGGCCGGGGCGCGCGCGGGAGGCCGAGCAACTTCCCGGCGCCCAGTCGCTAGGTGAGCCCAGGCTGAAGACTGGAACCGGGAGGGAGGGGGTGCACGGGGCTCCGAGGCGGGGCAGCCTCCGATCACCGGCCCACGGGGCCACCAGCAACCGTGCCACAGCCGTGCAGGCTGGAACAATGAGGCGCGCGGCGCGGGGCTGAGCGGAGCCACGCATTGGCTGGGAGGCCGAGCTGCAGCGGGAGGCGACGCGGTCGCGCGCTGCCGGATAGGGGACCACGCCAGCACGGGGTCGCCTGAGCCCCCAGCGAGGCCGCGCTTCCCTGGGTTTCCGTGCGAGTGTGGGAGCGCGTGGTGCGCGCGCCCGTCCGCCCGCCCGCCCACCCGGCCGCGTGGCTGCCAGGGAATAAAATGTGACACGCACGAGTCTGACTTCAGCGCAGAGCACAGGCGTGGGGACAAGGTGAGTGAGTAGCGCGCGAGCGTGCGGGATCTGCGACCCGCCTTGTCCTGCTGGAATCGCCTTGACTGGTACGCTGAGCTACTCAGAGTTAGATGAGCTCAGCCAGCAGAAGCCAGCGTTGTGTTTGGAGAACAGGACACTCCGAAGAGGGTGAGCGAAGGGAAGGCTTGCGCTTTGGGGACAGGTGGACACAGTTCACTCTGGGGATCTGAAACTGTGCTTTGGTTTGATTTGATGTGATTTGGTTGCTGAAGGAAGTGGAGATTTTTATCAAATTCCCGGACCTGTCTTCATGCAAATTAGTGCTCCTACAGCTTAGAGAGCATCCTGATTTTTACCCTCTATGTCCTATGTGGTTATAATGTTTAGGTGCAGAGGGACCTTCGGGAGTGCCCCCCCTCCACACACACACCAATTCAGTGTTAATTTTTATGCACTTTACTGGCGAAAACTCCACGTTTGGGTTGTTTCACTTCCCACCGTGTAGAGTGGTTATGTGATGAATTCTTTTTAATACGGAATGTGACATCTATCTCCTTTGGACCTGATGGTACTAGTGCTCTGGGACAAGTAAAGTTAAACTCATGGTTCGACGCAAATGAGGCTTCCCAAAGAGCCGGATAGTGTGTTTGGAAAAGCTGTGCTTTCCAGGAATTTAAATGAGACTTTTGTGATTGCCTTCCAGCGTCTCCCCCTGTGTTTCTTGGGGGCAGAACTTCCAAAGCAGTGTTGGAATCCAAAATCACTGTGGAGTGAGGAATTATCTGTATCTGTATCTGCGTTTTGGTAAACTTTGAAGGGACGGTGGGAGATCCTGCTGAAAATGTGATGAGAAATAGATCGTATCATTGTCTCTTGGATTGCTGAGCATTCTGGTACATAGCGGGCAAACAGTGGTTCTCCTGCGAATTGCCTTTCTGTGTGAGGAGAATCCTAGGCTGATTTAAACACTGCACTTTACACACACACACACACACACACACACACACACACACAAAGAGCAGTTAGCTCTACAATCTTTATTTCTCATGGGAGTTACTTGATAGTTGACTTTAAAAAATTCTGATCAGTACTTTTTTTTACCATTTTGAAATACAGTGTATATCTTGGGGAGAATTTCAGTAGCAGAGTGGTGGCAAATTTAGGGTAACTTCTTTTCAAAGGAAAAACACCACGTGCCCATTTAGTTACTTTTACTATCACTATTTTTCTGGAACTGACAACCAATCCCCACCACCCCCCCCCCCATTTTGTTCTAATATGTTAGAAAAACTGTCAGCAAGGTGGTTGGGTATTGTAACAGAAGAAAAAGAGAAAAATAAAAATAGTAGATGGTTGGGTTATGAATTGTACAAGTCGCTGGGGTGAGGGGCCTCAGACATGCAGAGGTTGGTTGTCTGCTTCTCACAGCTGACAGAAATTGGAGCGTGCTGCATGCCCTTTTCTCATTGAAGATGATGTTTCCTGAGTTGTGAGCTAAATCCTCTCGGGGATTTTGACTTGGGTCTCCTCTCCTGACAGCTCCAAGCTGCACGGTTTAGAGTGCACAATTTAGAATTAAAGCTAAGGATGAAGACACACACCTGGAGGACCCAGACTGAGAGACTTTAGTAACTGGAAATGTGTGGGTAGTGGGTTATGCAGAAAGGGACCCTTGTCTGTGCTTAGTCCTGACCACGAAAACTAAGAGGAAATGGATTCAAGTTTCTGAGTGTGGTCACGCCAGTCGTCAGGACAGATCAGATGGAGTCGTGGTTGCAGAGATGTCTTATACATATGTCCTTGTTTCTAGGGCTCCTCCTCACCCTCATCCCCTTTTTCTTTCTCCTCCCTGCTGTTTTCTCCTCCTCTCCCTCCTTTTTTTTTTCTGAGATGTTTCTCTTTCTGAGCAGACCTCTTGCATACATACTAACTGAACTCTTATCCGCTAGTGCAGAATGTATCCAGCCATTTCTTGATAAGCACAGGCACACTAGGGCGGATGCAGCCCCTGCCTAGATAAATAAATCTCTGAGAAACTTGCAGACATTTATCCCTTGGGAAGTTCTTAATTAATCAGCAGGTCTGCTGCCTGGTTTCTGATACTTTGAATAAAAATATCTCATGCACGATAATGGGATGTCTTGTTTTAAACATGGGTCTCTCTTTAAGTGTACTGTACTATGGTGTGCCCTATCAGTTGTGCTTGGCCTCCATTGGGGTATTCTGGAGTATGACCTTAAAATTTAATTGCTTAGATTAATGTTTAATTCAGCTTGCTCAAATGTATAAGCAAAACAGAGTTCCTTTGTGGCACCTAGATGTTAAGTTTCAGGTGTTGTAAGCCATAAAACTGGAAACGAGCATGCTTTACCAATGATGAGAATCGTATAAGTATAAAAGAAACAGTTGCATGGAGGCAGACACTAATTTTGGAATCAGGCGAGAACAGGTGCACATTTACACAGAAATTTTCAGTTGATTTTAGCACCAACTATTGATGTCAGTGCCAAGGACTAAATGGGCTATGGGTGATGACCAGCTACTGTTAGCAGATGAACATACCTTCAGTGGGTAAAGCTTCTCCTTTGAAAGCCCACCACGTCCCACTTTTGAGAGATTTGTTTTTCACACATTGAGTGCAAAGACTACAGCACTGGGAGGGGACATGGATTTATTAGGCCTCTTATCAAATCTGAAGTTTATTATGATAAAAATTCCAAGAACCCCCTTCAGGGGATAGGGAACAGCTGCAGTGTGGACTATGTGCCTGGAACTTACCCAGCCTGTGGGATGCATTAAAATAGGCACTAGGATGCCCTGAGGCTTTGCAGGAGCTGGAGGTCTGGTCCAGCGCTGCCATTGATCCTAACCTGGCCACTTGGTAGAAGCTAGGTCTCAGCAGTGTCAACCACCATGTGCATTCCACACTGCTCCCCAGAACCAAGTGCTTCATAGTAAAGGGGGAGGGCGGAGATGGCTCTGTGATAGGAAATGACACCTGAGGCTTGCCCTGCACCTCTCAAGCTTGCTGCCTCCACACAACTGCTGTAAGCCTGTTCTGCCTCCTGCTGTCCCCTGTGTTTCTCTTTAGGGAAGAATTCCAAAGTCAAGGTACAGTTTGGCCCTAGAAAGATGGAAGAGTGTGAAGAAAGGGTTGACAATTTTGCACTGGGCTTTGCTGAAGAACAAAGTGATCAAGAAGGCTGGCAGTCAGTGGCCTCGCTGCGACTTATCCTGGAGAAAGTCTCCCTGCACCAGAGTCCAGGGCTGGAAAGGAAAAACAGGGACCAAATGTACAAGTTGACTTCCGGTGCTGGATTCTTAAGATCAGTAATTTAATGTTCTGGTGTACTTAAAATCGATTTTCCCTCCAGCCCCTAGAGAAGGTAGTAGTCCAAAGAATATAATAATAACAACTGATTTGCAGGTATCGTGTACTACACCCTGCCATTTGCTTTGCATAGATTATTTGAGTACACTTTAGCCATAAACCTAGGAAGTATTAATACTCCATTTTAACATTGAGAAGACTGAGCCTCAGAGAAAGTATAGTGCCCTGACAGAGTTGAGGAATCGGCCCAATGCTTATGCTCCTGGGCTGAGCTCCACTCTACAGAAGAACATGAATGACCACTGTCCTATGTGAACAACCACTGTTATTCTTACGTCTGGTCAGAGATTGCTGAGACCGTGAGCTGTCACCTCCATTGAGCTTGAACTGTTGGGTGGGACAGGTATACAGGTGTGCTGGGCACTCAGAGACCCTGCAAACAGAAAGACATTTTTGAGCTCAGAGTTTTTAAATGGGCACAGGCATTTCGAGAATCCAGAAGAGTACTATGAGAAGGAAACCCTGCCTGATATGAAGGATGCCATGTTGAGTGAAATTTCCAGGGAAAGACTGGGGCGGAGACTGAAGAGAAGCATGCGTCTGCTTTGAGTTATCGCGTAGTGAAGAGCGGGCTTTCAGAGCCTAGTCTCTTGGGACATTTAGAATTATATTGGCGAAAGCATCAGAGGGCTCACCGTGCAGTAGAACCTGCCGTCTTGATGACCGGCCTCTGTTTTCATGAACTTTATCATTCACACATTGAGTTCTGTTCAGTGCCGCTTCTAGTTCAAGCCCGAGAAGAAAACGCTTTATTAAATTTCAAACAATTGGTTTTGCCTGTTTGAATTATACAGATTTTTTTTCAAGTCAAGGTTCTTGCTGTGGTTTTGAAAAATGACTTGGCTTTAAATTAAACTCTGGAAAGGTGAGCCTCTTATGTAATCCGATTACCTTATAACTCAGGAATAAATCTGAAAGGCAGTTTCCTTGAAAGCATGGTAGTAATGATGATTTTTATGAATGATAGTATGTGGCTGTGGGTGAAAACTTAGTTAACATGGGATTTGTTCATGCTGGTTCACTCAAGTGTGAGATGAATCTATAGTGTATGATTAAATGAATGAGCTCACTTTTGCTGTTGAGGTGGGAGTTAACTATGTAAAGTATGTTTTAAATTTTCAAAAATAAATTCTATTAGCATCACCATGTGAAGCTGGGCATGGTGGTAAACACTTGAAATCTCAAACTAGTATGGGCTGCCTAACATCCTACTGGGGAGGGGGTGGAGAAGAAGAAAGAGAAAAGAAATTTTCATGTGAAAAAGTGGACTACCTTTAAACAGACATAAATTTTCACTCACTCAAACACACACACACACACACGCACACACGCACGCACGCACGCACGCCGATCATGTTCCTGATTCATTTTTTTAAAATCAGAAGTTAGGAATAAGAAGTGAAATAGGATATTTGGTCTGGGATTTACAATAGTTAAACAACTCATCAGGACTAGAGTTTGACCCTTCTTACTGAGAGAATACTCTTTTTCCTATATAAATTATCTCTGACAGAATTGCATGCTCCAAATTACATGTGGCTTATAGGAAGTTACCCAAATGGGTAGGGTTTAGAGAACCTTTGGTTTCTTATCAATAGGACCTATGTGGAAGCCTATGTGTTAATTTAAGTGTATGTATATTCGTGGAGCACATGTACGCGAGTGTTCTTAATAGCAGTCAGCATCTTCGAGGTGCCTTTGGTGGTTTGCAAACTGCTTTTAACAGAGGAATAGGACACTAATTCTGGAGAGGCCCTGGGCAAGGCACCCAGGGGAATGGCCTCAGACTGAAGACTGGACTACATGGAAGCTATTTCTCCAGGTGACAGATTGAGCCACTTAGTTCAGATCAACATGAAGTTGGTCAAACAATGTAGGTGACTCAGCCCCTCTCCCAGGGAACAAAATACTGTTTGAAGTTACCCAGAATCAGTGTCTTCCAGCTCACTGTAGGTGATAGCAGGTTAAAGAATCGAAAACAGTAAGCCCAAGACTTCTGTTTTTAAAAGACTACACTTCCTAATTCTCAAAGAAATTTTTTTGAGTACACCAGTTAATGAATAAGGGGAAAGTGGGTCAGTGTTAACATTTTTTAAAATCTCCATCTATCTGCAATATGTATGTGATTATGTGTAGGCATATAATTTACAATTTTCAAGGGGAGCCCCTCCCAACTTGACTCATAGTATAATTAGCAGCTATTCTGCTTTGTATTTAGAAAATTAGTAAAGAGGAGACTTGAACTCATTAAGTAATTTGCCCAGTTTAATAAGATTGGCCCTCTGCATCTGTGGATCCTACACAAACAATTTGACCAACTGCAATCTGTTTGGAAATAATTTCATAAATATTTTGGAGCATATATGGACTTCTTGGCATCATTCATAGAGGACTCAGTATAATGCATGCGTAATCTAGAGATGATTGATGTAAGTAAGAGGATGTGTGTAGTGTCTGTGCATGTGCTGTCTGTCGTTTGATACCAGGTGGTCTTAGGGCAGTGGTTCTCAACCTTCCTAATGCTGTGATCCTTTAATAAAGTTCATCACGTTGTGGTGACCCCACAACCATAACGTTATTCTCATTGCTGTTTCATAACTGTAATTTTGCTACTGTTATGAATAGTAATCATGCAAATATCTCTGTTTTCTGATGGTCTTAGGCGACCTCTGTGAAAGGGTTATTTGATCCCAAAAGGGTGAGGACACACATGCTGAGAACCACTGTCTTACAACAGCTCCCGCAGTTCATACATCATAATAACAGTCTGGATGTCATTAAAGAAAGCTATTTTATTAATCATTTGAGGTGAGAGATTTTCAAAAACTGACTTAATCATGTACATAACAAATACCTATGTGGTACCCTTTAAATAATGTGACCTATTTGCTTCATTCTACTCTTTGTACTACGGAGTTAAAACATATCACACTTTATTGTAATTTTACCCTAGCAATACATCTTTTGATAAAAGAGAAGCTTTAGCACACATTACATAACATTGCTCTTATGGAGCAGTTAAAATTATTCTGCATCAAGTTAAGTGTGTTGTTTCTGGATGGTGTGCTTAACCCTGTTATCTTGCGGAACTGAATGCGCTTGATCAGGTGTGTTCTGTGCCCGTTGCATTGTCAAGACTAACTTACCCCCAAATTCCATGTATTAACTCAGTCCAGATGACTGAATCTACTTGGTACTTAGCAGGATAGATGCTGAATATGGCAGGTGAGTGTACGATGTTGAAGATCATAGAAGTAATCCTGGGAGTCACCCTGTGAGTGATTGGTACAATGTCCTGGGAAATAGCGTGTGGTCCCTGAAAAGAAGTCTTTAGGTACTGGCTCTGTGATGCTACAATGGACAGCCAGGTCCTGTACTGAGTGCCAGGTTTCTGCTTCATCTAGACAGCAAGCTCTCCTTCAGAAGCCATTGGAAGGATTCTTCTTTACCAGGTTAGATGGCATACCTACAAAGATTAATTTGCTTCTTAGAATTCACATTTCCTGTGAACCTAGATTATCTTCTCTCCCAAATAACAATTCAAGTTGTTCTAGGGTGAGAAGTGAGTGTGCATCAATACATAGACAAATTCACACACACTTTGGTTGTTTGATTTTTTTTGTATTGCGAGTACACAAGGATTGTGAGTTTCAGTAAGACATTTAAACACACCTCTTGTTGTAGTCTCTAAAACCTTGGTAGGTGTGTAGTACTCACATCTTGTCTATAACATAGCATAATATTTGCAAAAATCTACATACATTACCCAGGTGTCCTATAAATCATCTCTAGATGGCATGTACTTAATAAAGTTAGTTATAATGCACATATTAAGGAAAGCAACAAGAAAACGATGTATCTGTGTTCAATATATGTGACTTGGGCGAGAAGATAATCTAGCTTCATAGGAAATGTGAATTCTAAGAAGCAAATGAATCTTTGTAGGTATGCCATCTAACCTGGTAAAGAAGAATCCTACCAATGGCTTCTGAAGGAGAGCTTGCTGTCTAGATGAAGCAGAATATGAGGAAATATTAAATATTTTGCCATTTACACCTGTGCTGGAATTATAAATACACCATTTGTTGACTGTTCATGAATGGAATATGTTTGTCGAAAACGTGGAGAAACGGATATTACCACTTCATCAAGCCTTCTTTTTCTCCCTTTTTGTCCCTGTCCCCACAGTCCCTGTTTGGTTTCTAACAGGCTGGATGCATGTTCTCTTCCTGATTACACTAGATTTAATCAAAATGACCAATAATTTATCATATTGTAGAGTTAAGGTAAAGTTAAGTAGGAATGGAAGTATTGATTGTACATTAAAGTTGATCGTTTCTGTAGTTGTTCATCATGGATACTTTTGTAGCGACAGTTAACAACTCTAGAATTGCTTTTATTACAAAAACTCAGTTTTGTCATTGGTCGAACACCCTAGGCTTTTTCTTTCTGCTGACTGCAGACATGGCTCAGAAGTAAAATTTAAAGAATCCTCAAAGCTACCATGTTGTGTCTCAAATCATGAAGACAAAGTGCAAAGTAAAAACATAATCAGTGAAGTTTGTATTTCCAACTGAATTTATCTTGTGAAGACAAAGTACAAAGAAAAAACACAATCAGTGAAGTTTGTATTTCCAACTGAATTTATCTTGTGTGAATTGTGAACCCGGGGTTCACAATTTAATTTTGGCAAAGGGGTATTCATACATAGATAGCTATAGGAGCAGTTTTGCATAACTCAGTTTTTTAAGGAAATGTGGTAGAGAAAGTAGTGCAGCATGGAGGAATCAAGTGGGACTGATTCTTTGGCACTTTTATCTTAAAGAGGCTTGTCTGTTTTTGGTGGGGGAGTTTCCAGACAAGGTTTCTTTGTGTAACAGCACTGGCTGTCCTGGAACTCACTCTGTAGACCACGGTGGCCTCAAACTCACAGAGATCCACCTGCCTCTGCCTCCCTAGTGCTGGGATTAAAGGCATGCACTACCTTTTACAATGTTGAAATAAGTGGAGGTTCTGCAAACCTAGTCCAGACTGCTCCATGACAGTAGCTTCCTGGAGTGTGAGGAGCAACTCCGAGAGGCTTTTCTACTTTACTGAAAGTCAAAGTGAAAAGGTAGAAAGCTGTCTGAACATTTAGTGGAGAGGAACAAAAGGAACGTGGGGTAAGGAGCACTTGCTGCTTTTGCAGAGGACCTGAATTTGGTTACTTGCACCAACACTGTAAAGCTCCCAAACCCCTGTAACTCGAGCCCCAGAGGATCCCATCTACTCCTCTGGCCTCTTCAGGCATTTGCACACGTTGTGTGCATGTAAACACTCAGGCACACACACATGCACACACACACACATGCACACACACACGCATGCACATAA